AGCATACAAGGGCCAGGATGGGATCAGTGAGGAATCCCTTCCAGAGTACTTTATTATTGAGGACGATGCACAAGCCAGGAAGAACACTTTTCCTTTCAGACTCCAGGCTGAGTTTGCAGTGCTGGAAGTTGAGAAACTTTTTATTACTAAACCTAGTTAGGTTTGAACTAGGATCATTGCCAGACAAACATAGATCCCCACAATGCCATCTTAAGAGTCACTTTCCTGAGTATGTTGACACCTGAATTCTGTCCTCAAAGAAGACCTCCATTTTCTCTAGCGATGTGAAGCTGGTGTTTGTGATTCACTGTGTATTTCTTCTTAATGGAGTCTTTCATACAATGTATTAGGTCTACCCCAGTCATATTTTTATATGTAATCTGCATTGTCAAGTTGGTTATCACATATTTTACAAGTTGAAGTTTCACATTTGGTGCTGTGCTCAGACAAGACTCAAGGTCTTTGCTTTCAAGAACTTCCTGCACTTGGCAGAGCTTTTCATGCTTAAATTCTTAAAAAGCTTATATTTGTAAAGCCAACGCAATTGGTATCAGGGAAATCAAGACTTTTGTTAATGTGAAATGAAAGACAATTATGGTGCAATAATTTACTTGATCTGGGTTTTTCACATTAGCAAAATTGCAAGCAGCAGTGCTTTTAGCCCTTTAAGTATCAGGATTCTGTGAGTGAATTTTTAGTACTAACCTTGTTAGCCACATAATTCTAGTCACTTCCCTAAACACTAATATCCCTTGCAATGATGGCATATCTGCCCGCCTCAAATATTTACAAGACAACGGACAATCCTCATATATCCACCCCAAAGACATTACCAAACTCATCCATTCCATCCTCACCCATTACAATTTTACATTCAACAACACACACTTTGTCCAAACCATGGGAATCACCATGGGTACTAGGATGGCTCCACAATATGCCAGCCTCTTCATGGGCCACCTTGAACAAGAATTTCTGGAAAAATGCACCAAAAAACCAAAGATATACCTGAGATACACTGATGATATTTTCATCCTCTGGACAGATGTCTTAAACTCCATCATAGATTTCCACCACAACTTCAACTATCACCATTAAACTATCTCTTGAACACTCTAACATTAGCATCAACTTCCTGGACACAACAATCAACTTCAACAATGGACTCCTAAAGACAACTACATACAAGAAACCCACAGATCACATCACCTACCTTCATAGATCCAGTAACCACTCCAAACACACCAAGAAATTTGTTATCTACAGACAGGCACTCAGATACCACAGAATATGGCTCCATAGGGGAAGTCCAGGATATACATCTTAAGACACCCAAAACTGCCTTCACCAAACAAGGACACTCCACTAGAGAAATAGATGGCATCATGGAACAGATCACTCAAATACCCTGAGAGAACCTGCTTCAATACAGAAATAAAATCCCCTCCAACCGTGCACCCCTAGTTGTGACCTACCACCCCACACTGGGACCAGTACAGGGTATCATCAAATAACTATAACTCATATTCAGTGGGGACCCCATCCTGAAAGAAATCTTTCCTGCACACCCCCATTTCTGGCCTTCAACCACCCCCCAACTTCTCCAAGCTCATCATCAGAATCAAGCTCCCCACAGACCAGGACACACCAATTCAAAGTGGCACCAGACCCTGCCAGAACAACAAATGCAAAATCTTCAGTCATATCTCCACTGCTACAATGATCATCACTCCCCACAACACACATTTCAAGGTCCATGGGTCCTACACATGCCTATCACAATGTGTGGTGCACCTCATCCAGTGCACTAACTGCCGCAAGAACAACTTTGTGGGTGAAACCAGACAATCACTTCAAGCTCAAATGGCTACATGGGAAAATGATAAAAGACAAAAGCACCATATTACCTGTGGGTGAACCCTTCTCACAAAGTGATCACTCCATATCTGACCCCTCAGTCTTTGTCCTCAAAGTAAACCTGCAGAGCACTTTCAAAGACTAACCTGGGAACTTAAATTCATAACTTTTCTAGACACTAAAATCATGGACTGAATAGAGACACTGGATTTATGACTTTATTACAACAATTTATAACCCACTAGCAAGCCCCTCCCCACTGCCTTCCCCAATCTTTCTTTCCCCCCGGATTGGAGGGATGTTAATGGGCCACTTAACCTTGAATGATCCCTTGAAATGTGTGTTAACTACTTATGTTAAACAATCTATTCCACCTGGTATTTAGCTTTGTCACTGAGTATGTTTCCCAGACCCGAAGAAGGGCTCTGTGGAAGCTCAAAAGTTTGTCTGAGGGCAGGTCTACACTTAAAAAAAGCTGCATTGGTGCAGCTGCACCACTATAGTGCTTCAGTAAAGACACTTCTACGCCAATGGGAGAGCTTCTCCCATCAGTGTACTTAATCCACCTCTGTGAGTAGCGGTAGCTGTATCAATGGGAGAAGTTCTTCTGGCCACATAGCCCTATCTATACCAGGGTTTAGGTCGGTATAACTACGTCACTCAGGAGTGTGGATTTTTCACACCTTGGAACAATGTAGTTATACCAATACAAATCTCTAGTGTAGACTTGGTCTCTCTCACCACCAGAAGTTGGTCCAATAAAATATATTAACCCACCCACCTTTCCTCTTTGCAATGATTCGAGTAACCTAGTTGCTTACAGCTCCTGGCTGAGCACCTTTAAAAATGCTTTTTCCTGATAACTAATTATTAGATTATATATAATGAAAGTATTTCCCAGGACATTCCCCTCTCCCACCTAGTGTTCAGAAACATGGGGAATCTTGGGGCAGCAGTGAAGTGTTTTAGACCAAATTCTGGCATATGCAACGAAGGGCTGAGGACGAAAGAAGGGTGGAAAAACTCTTCCCCATTCCCTTTGCATCCCCACCCCCACATAGGAAACAGCAACAACTGCAGGCCTTGCCCAGTCCTGAGCTTGTCTGTTCTCAGCTAGTTTAGCCTGGGGCACAATCCCCGCCCCCAAATGAGTGGGACTATGCCCCAGGCTATACTAGCTGAGAACAGTAATGAGCCACAGTGCTGGTCCATAGGCAGATGATGCAGCAGACACATTTCCTGACTTTGTGCCATGAAGTTGTGGGTGGCATTGTAAGTCATCATGAATATTGACAAAAGATGCTACTGACTTGTGAAATTAATCCATTTCAGTAAGAATGAACACCCATCTAGCACCCAAACAGTGAGTCCACATTCATTTAATTTTTCCTTGCAAAGATTTATGATGGGACTAATGAGGAGAATGATATGAATTTGGGTGGTGGTGGCCAAAATTATTTAGCAAGGCAGAAGCTTTCAGAGAGGTATATGTCATCTCCTAGGACGTAAAAATCTGTAGGGGCAGTATATCTTAATAAATAATAATACATTGAACTCCTATAGCATTTTGCAAACAAGGATCTCAAAGTGGCTTCAAAACAAGGATTGAATTAATCCTCAACTTCATTGCAAAGTACTTTTCAGAGGGGGAAAGTGGGGCACAGAAAGGCCTATAGCTACACAAGGAGCCTGTGTCAGAGGTAGTGGAAATCCCTATCCCCACCCACCAAGATCTCATAACTCTTTAATTGTGTTTTAACCATGAGACCATGCTTCTTCTGCATTCTTCCATGCAATACACTGTGTGGGGAAATGGATGTAGGACAGGACCTGAAGGGACCTCCTGGGCCATTAAGTCTGGTCCTCTGCTACTGCAGGCAACCCCATCACAAGATCCCATTCATAATGTATCGAACTCCATCTTAGAATTAGGTTGTTTGCTCCTATTACTGCAATTGGGATGCTCTTCCTTAGCCTCACTCCTCTGACGGTTAAAAACAGTTTTCTAATTTCCAGCCTACATTTATTCATGGCCAATTTATACCCATTTGTTTTTATACCAATACTGTCCTTTAGCTTAAATAGCTCTTCACCCTCCCTGGTGTTTACCTCCCTGATGTACTTATAGAAAACAATCATATTTCTTCTCAGCCTTCTTTTTGCTAGACTAAACAAGCTAGTCTTTTTTTAAATTCTCCTCTCATAAGATAGGCTCTTCACAATGCAGACATTTTGATGATAGGGATTTTGGGCTTGTCTACACTACCGCTTAAGTCGATGTAAGTTACATCACTCAGGGGTGTGAACTCCCCCAGCTCCCCCAGCAATGTTACTTACATTGACTTAACATGGTCTCTACACTGCGCTATGTTGGTGGGAGAGCATCTCCTTTGCCTCTTGTTGAGGTGAATTAATTATGTAGACAGAAAAGTGCACTTCTGTCAACGTAGCGCGTCGTCATTAGACACGCTGAATCAATGCTGCTGCATCAATCACAGTGGCACCAATTTAGCACAGTAGTGAAGATAAGTTCTTTGTCAAGGATGTTCAGGAATTATCCAGTTGTTACAAATATCTTAAATTCACTGAAACCATTTTATTTGCATGGTTTGGCCATGGAGCTGTACTCTAGAAGACTGTTCATGGCTTTGGTTTAGAAAAATGCATGTGTATGATAAGCAAGTATGACCAGTGGTGAGCTGGAGCCGGTTCGCACCGGTTCGTACAATCCGGTTGTTAAATTTTGAAGCCAGTTTAGAACCAGTTGTTAAAGGGGTGGGCAAACTCCGGCCTGCGGGCCACATCCAGCCAGCAGCACCATCCTGTCCAGCCCGCCTGAGCTCCAAGCTGGGGAGGCTCCCTGGCTGAGAATCCCTTTTTAATTTTCACTCACCCGGCAGTGCTCCGGGTCTTCGGGGGCACTTTGGCAGCATGTTCTTACTCGCTCCGGGTCTTTGGTGGCACTTCGGCGGGAGGTACTTCAGTGTCACCAAAGACCCAGAGCAAGTGTAGGACCCACAGCTGAAGTGCCGCCGAGAAGACTCAGGGCAACTGAAGGAACCGGTTCTTCAGCTTTTGGCAGCTCATCACTGAGTATGACACCCCTCCTTTCCCTTCACCTTGGCTCACAATTCTTCTTCTAGGACCATGTGGAGTTCATCACCTCAATGAAGCCGTTAAGGTATGCAGAAACCACATTAAAGAATTAATTAATTCTGCCAACATGCCCTCCGAAAGAAGTCAAAGGAACCATACTTGGCCAAGGACCAACAGATTAAAACAAAATTGGAGTCTCTTGGACAAGCCATTTTGTAGTTATAATGAGCCAAAAACTGTAAGAAAAATATTTAAAAACTGAGATCACCTTCATTTTTTGAACCTTTGTACATTCTAAAAGCCTTGACCAATTTGCCTTAAATTTGTTGTAAATTTTCATGGAGATTTATTTTTGGTTTGCTGAAATTAGTGTGTGTAGGGTCAAAGTTAGTCTTGTAATGGAAGGGGTGTTGCAAGCTAACTATGAAGAAACTAATATGTTCAACAATATATGTTACTTCACTGTAGTACTAAATTTCTTTAAAAGTACAGGCGTCAGAGACAATAAAATACCAGTCCTCTCAAAATTAGAGTGCAGAAATGGTACATCAAAACACAGATGTCTCATAAATCTAAATAATGTGTAATTTATATATATATAATATCCATGCACAAATATAATATGCACGAGTGGATTGAAGAATTTGTGTGCACTATACAAAGTACCTAGAGACAAGAAACATTAAATGTTATTTATGTTTGTTCTCCTTTAAGTTTGCAGCAGACTATGCCACTCCATTTTAAAAGGGGACTTCTAACTACCTTTTGAAGCTCTGTTCTTCATCCACCATTTCCAAGGTTCTTTGAGCTTGTATACACTTGAAAGTTAATTCAGAATAAGATAGGGTGTGAATTTAAAGTGCAATAGCTATTCCTGAATAACTCTATGTGTGGACACATTCTGGAATGAAGACTGTCTTGTTTCAGTTTAACTTAATCCACTTTCAGAGCAAGGCACTCATTCTGGAATAAGTGTCCACACAGGGAGTTATTCAGAAATATCTATCATGGAATAACTCCTTGTAAACAAGTCCTTACTTATCTGGCAATGGCTAATACGTTTCTTACACTTTAAGGACACTGACATGGAGTTTAAAACCTTTGCCTAAGTAAATTCTTCTCTTAAAGCTAAGTATTTATGTTTAGTGACAAGTATTTTGTTATCTGAGTGCTCATACATCACCAAGTATGCCCACAAGAGCACACTTCTGCATGAAAACACAAAGACAAGGGAAGATTGTGCATCATCCAAAGTGAGATTTCCTCTCTCAAGTTTGGTTTATCCTGTACCACCTCAGGCCAAGACTTAGGCCATACCTATACTATGAGGATTATAACGGCATAGTGATGGCTCTCTAGCTAGGCCATCATAACCCTTTAGTATAGGCTCAGCCTACAGTGATAGAAAGGTGCTCTAGGAACACCACTATGACATGACGCTCCAAATTCTTTATAGTAATATGCTTATGATATGAATATGGCATAACTCAGATATATTTTATGTAAGATGGATCATGTAAGATATCACTGGAAAGGTTATAATTTACTGAATGTGATTATCCAATTTGTATGCATGTATCATTTCTGTATTTGGAGTTAGGAATATTGACTATGTAACAATTACAACTGTGGTTAATTGTTCTGGGAGTTCCTTCCTGTGGACATTGCAAATAAACCTGGTTTCATGGTTGCTTTGACACTGCAAGGTTAGGTGATAATGTCATCTGGTAAAAAGTACCACCTTGGAGACTGCTGGTACTTTTCCATTGGAAACAAAGGCTTCCTATCTTATGTAAATTCTATTTAAGGCTGGGGAGTAAGGCAAACATTGCCATCCTCTATGTAGCGGGGTGGTCACCCGCTCCTGCCCAGAGGGGCTTAAAACAGCCCTGGGGAGGGCTGTGGCTGGGGGCAGGTAGCTCCCAGGCTGATTGGGGAAGTAGGCATAGCTGGGGCCATGCCCCAAACAGACCACAGCTGGCCCTTAGAAAAGGGCTGGGAGCCAGATGCTCAGAGAGAGTCTCCTCTAGCTGTGGAGAGAGGAGGTACCCTCAGGTACCCTGGCTGCTGGGGAGCATATCCAGGGTACCTGAGGTGAAGCAGGGCTGGGGAAGGCCACAGGAGCTGGGAGGCTCCAGGCTGGAAAAGCCCCAGGCTGCAGGCCTGGAAGATGGCCTAAGACAGGGTACTGGGGTTGCAACAGGGGAGCCCAAGGGTAGGCAGAGGCAGCAGGTCCAAACCCCCCTTGCCTGTGATGAGTGGCTTGTACACTGCAGTCCGCCCCAGTGAATGGGGGCTAGGTGGTGACTGGCAGTAGTCAAATACGGAGGCAAGGTGGGGATAGAGGGTTGGGGGTTCCCTTAGGAGGAGAGACCCAGAGACTGTGGGGGTACTGCCAGGGGGAAGCCTCCAAGGAAAAGGGGCACTGGGGTCTGGGAGGGACTTGGGGCCCAGCGGCAAGAGGAACACTGGCCTGCAGAGGGCACTCTGGAGGCTGGAATCGCTAATTTCCTGGACGACCAGCAGGAGGCGCCACAGGGGTGAATCCCGCACTGCTACACTGTCCAAGAAGAAAGACAACTGAAAGTACCTGACGAGACAAAGGAACTGAGCTGAGGGAAAGGCAAGGGCTGAATCCAGACTAAGAAAAGGAGTCTAGTCTGTAAAGAGAAATAACTGGAACTCTAAGCTACAGAAACTCTGCAACTTGCCTAAAACAACATTGAGGGCGAGAAACTACATTTTGTAACCTGTTTCTTGAGTGTATTAAGCCTAGTTTGCATGTTTTGTTTTACTTGCTCAGTAATCTGCTTTGTTCTGTTTGCAGTCCCTTATAATCACTTAACATTTACCTTTTATAGTTAATAAACTTATTTTTTGTTTATAACATAACCCAGTTTGTGCAATTCATATCTGTGGGGGGCAAGAAGTTGTGCATCTCTCTCTCCACATTGAGGGAGAGGACGATTTTTTGAGCTTGTGCTGTGCAGATCTTTCTATACAGCCAAGACAATATTATTTTGGGTTTACTCTCCAAAAGGGATGTGCACGTGACTGCTGGGTGAACCCTCGAGCTGCTTTCTCCCACACAGAGCTGAATGCAGTCTGTGTCTGCAGCTGGGTGTGGCCTTACCTTTGTGTGTGTGCCAGAAAAGGCTTGAGGGCTTGGTGCAGCTAGAACAGGATGAGGAAACCCAGGCTGGTGGAATGGATGGAGTCAGTGGGACCCCAGCACATTGGGTGGCATCCCCGGGGGGAGGAGGAGTGGTCCAACCCGTCGCAACCACCTCCGCAAGCAATGGTGGCTACCTTCATGGAAGCATTCTTCCATCGACCTAGTTGTGTCCACTCTGGGAATTATGTCAGTATAGCTGTGGTACTCAGGGATGTGGATTTTTCCACCTTAGCTGCATCAACCTAAACCTTAAGTGTTGACCAGACCTTGAAGTGAGCAGAGTAACCTGAGGTTGCTGACTAACAATGTTCTCCCCCTCCTCCGCTGCTGCAACGCCACCCCCCTCGGAAAAAAGAAATCTCTGAGTTAGATTTGAGGTGGTTGGTCCATGTGAATGTAGGTGATGTGGTGAAATCTGGAACCGTTTTCCTTCTGCCATATGGAAAAAGCACCATCAGCCATCCCTCTTCACAATGAGGCTAGCTGCAGTAGAATCCTAGTGCACCAGTGTGTATACATTGGGAATTGGTTTTGCAGGAATATCAGGTTGCAGTTCTCATGTGTTGAGTTTAGTTTTGGGATCCTTAATTTGACAATACTGCCAAGTCAGCCTCTGGTGCATCACTGCTCTGAGGTCTAACCTGGCTAATCTCATTAGTGCTCTGATGAAATTACATCAGAATTTCCAACTGAAAATTTTCAACCATTTTATCTTGGTATCCACCTTGCTTCTGCTGCCCACTATTTCTGCCCAACTCAAATGAAGCAATAGGATTAGAAGAGCATTTAAACAAGCTGTCCCAGTGGTAATATTTTGTTGCAAACCAATGAAATTCCATCACCAGGTAATAATAGGATGCGGCTTCATTTTCAGACCACTTGAAACCCTCCATGAATCCAACCCTGAAATTGTACATCAGTAATAGGCACAAAACCCCCATAACCATTTAGCAATAAAGCAATGGGATAGTGGCTCCTTTAAATTCATAGCCAATTTCTGTGAATGTTAACAGTTCTACATAATACACATGAAACTGCAATTTAGCCATGAGTCAGTAAGCCAATAGTCTCTTTATATATGATGAGAACAATAGCTGAGACCTAAACAGCTTTTATTTCATTAGCACCTTGTGATGGCATCTACCAGGCCTTCTTTGCCCCGTGCTGGCGGCACCAGTGCCCTGACAGCCTCTGCTCAGGCCAGGATACCAACAAGATTTAGGGCATGTCTACGAAAATAAGTTGACCTAACTTACGTCAGCATACAGCCAGCACAGTAATTACATCGCTTGTATGTGTCTACACTTTGCTCCTTGTATCAGCGGTGCACATCCTCACCAGGAGCACTTGCACTGATTGTTCAGTCAGTGTGGGGCATTGTGGGATGGCTTCTGAAAGCCAGTTACAGTCCATGTAAGCAACGCAGTGCCTACACTGACCCTGCATCGACCTAACTACATCAGCATTGGCTCTATGGCTCTTGTGGATGTGGAGTTATTAAGTCGGCGTAGTGGGGGCAGTTATGTTAGCGGGAGCAAAATTTTAGTGTAGACACTTACAGAGTTAGGTCAACATAAGCTGTCTTGCGCTGATCTAACTCCGTAGTGTAGACCAGGCCTAGTTCTTCAGAAGCTTGGAAGGGCCAGGAGACACTGACCAACTGGGAGCCAGCAGACCAGTTAAGAAGGTTTGCCTGCTTCTTCTCAGGGGCAGTGCTGGGTGACACTGGGACAGAGGAGGAGCTCCTCAGAACTAGCCCAGAATATCCAGGGCCAGGTCAGGGCCTTGCCTTCAAGCACCGCAAGTAAGCACTTGCCTCTTCTTTGTTTATTTAAAGGTGCAAGCAGCAAAATTCTAAGTTTATTTTTTATTTAACTGAGTAGATACTGACTCTAAACTTATGGCTCAGGCCACCCTGCTCCCAGCAGGCAGCCAAGACTAAGGCAGGGAGCCCCTGCAGTTCCACACTGGACCCTGCTAGGGGTGCTACAGAGCAGTTCTACCTGTCATACATCCTCAAGAAAAAAATCCATAGTCCTTTAAAAACAAAGTACATCTAATTCACCACTGAAATGCAGTCACCTCTGGGGTGGAATAGGGTAACTCTTGCAATGTACCAGCACTACATAATAGTTCTGGGAAAGGAAGACAGGACAAATAACTTATCTAGGTGAAACTGCACAGTGAGTTAGATAGGGTAAGTGTACTTCCCCACATAGGAATTTGACCAGGACACTGGAAGTCACTGCACTCTAGAATTGGAACTTTAAGGACCACAGATGCTTAAGAGTTGAGTTTTACATCATACCAGTCAAGTGGCACTTCCACTAGTACTTTACCCACAAGCAGTATGCTGGTATATTTGTTCAGTAAAGATTCAGATTGCCACCAGTGAATCAGCAATGTGCTCACCATTTAAAATTCAAATCTGCTTAAAAAACACTCATTTGGCAGAGTATTAATTCTAGGAGCTCCAAATGTAGACAAACCAATCCAGTTTTGAACATGAACCATTACCAGTCCCATATTTCAGGTGAACTTAGTTCCATATTCATCACTTCCAAAATAGTCACCACCCAGAGGAACAGAGGAAATGACACATTGGAACATGCAACAGGCCCAACTGGTCCAAAGTCCCACCTTTGATGGTGATCTATATTAGTGCTTCACAGGACAGGAAAGAAAAACTGCAATTCTAATACTTCTGGCCAACTCTGCAATCTATGGTATATGAGGTAAAAAAATCCCTTCCTCTCAGTTTATGCCCTGAAGTGAAAGGCTTGCCATAACCCTTGTAATTTTCAGTCTAGCCAGTATTGCTACAAATGTTATTATTATTCATATAAATGTCTAATCCTTTTTTGACTCTTGCTGAACTGTTTGCCTCAATACCCTATGGCACAGAATTCCACAAGTTGATTATATGCTGCTTTAAAAAGCATTTGTTTTATTCCATCTGAAAACATGCTTTTTATACCACTTGTCAACTTTCTAGTCTCACCCACTTTTTCATTCTGTTCTCCCAGACACTGCACTTTCCTCTTTTTTCTAGACCAAGTCCTTTACATAGGGAGAAAATGACACACCAGCTCTCTGTCTCTCTCCTCTCACACAGTGCACATTTTCATTAGCATAGACTTAGCTTAGGAAAACAACCCAGGGTTCTTACCAGCCCACATGCCAAAAGTAATACCTAGGAACTCCAGAAGAGTGAATTATCTAACACAGCGGTTCCCAAACTTGTTCCGCCGCTTGTGCGGGGAAAGCCCTTGGCGGGCCGGGCCAGTTTGTTTTACCTGCCGCAGCCGCAGGTTCGGCTGATTGCGGCTCCCAGTGGCCGTGGTTCCCTGCTCCAGGCCAATGGGAGCTGCTGGAAGCGGCACGGAGCAAGGGACAGCAGCTCCCAGCTTGATCCTGCTCTCTTAAATCAAAGGGAAACCTGACATAGCCTTTAATGGGAGTGGGATCTATCCCTATAATAATATTCCCCCCCTTCACTTAACTTTGTGATGACTCAATTCTTTTCTATAGTGATTTGAATTAGGGTTAGGTAGGGATATTTATGTTTACTTACTTTTTCTCCTGGCAAAAGTTCAGTATACCAAACTACAATATTGTTTTCTTTATCTGCTTTTAGATAGATTCTCTTCAAGCACTTCAGAAATGCCTTCCTCTTTCCAGGATTTCTTCAAATCTTGTCAAGCTAGAGGATGTTTCTGCCTTCAGTGTGTCTCTTTCCTTAAGATAGTGGAAGATTACATACTTGTTCTTGTACAAAGAACAAGGACATGAGTTAAAACAGAGCACCTGAGATGCAGCTAGAGGTGAAATGTGTTTGAAGAGAACCAATGAATTGTGGAGGTTATCGATGAAAAAGAGAGAGACAGCTAGGCAGAGAGTGGGAAACAGAGCATGGATTCCTGATTTATGGACTCATTCTTAATACAAATGGAAACAGTCAGTCCTTTTCTGTCAATCTGATCAATGTAGCAAAATTCCTCCAAGAATTTTAATGAATGGATATATATGTATATTACAATTAAGTTTCCATACTGTATGTGTAGTCACTGTTACGGATTAATCTTAAACTGTCTACACATCTTTCTTTGCCAGAACCTGTTTTTAATGATTATTTGGTATTGACCTTTAAACATTAAACACTTACACATTTAACTAAGTTTGCCTCATATGGATTCATTTCAGTACAGATATGTTGGTGATCGAGTTTTAATCTTTGTGTTTACACATTTAAATCAATATTGCTTTCGGGCCAAGCTGAGCCATTATACTCAGCCCTGAATATGAACACAGTGGGATACCATGAGAACAGAAATGTCTATCTGAGCACATCTGATCTCAGTGGATAAAACAACTAAACTCAGAGTATTTTCAGAAGCAGAGACTAGCTCCTTCATAGGAACACAAAACAAAACACAACACACAAGTAAAAATAGTCTTGAAATCATGGAGTTAGGATTGCAGTGAATTGACAATCTTGGGCAGAGAAGT